TGCCATTGCAACATGTCCTTTTGTGGTTATGTGTATTATATTAAATGGTACATTTCCGTAAACTACAATTTCCGCCAATGTGTAAAGTTATTAAATTCCGGTTAATATTTGCTTGTTTTTTTTTTTGTTCGAGTTTGTGCCTAAAGTTGTCTGGCTTTATAAGCCTGTAATATTAATGTATGAATCTCCCTACTACTATTTAGTAAGCTGAATACCTGGCAGCCTATAAAAGTATTGTTTTAGCTCTAATGAATTGAGATGGTTTTTTCATAAGCTATTGCATAGAATATGTAGTCGCTGGTTATTACTTATATTTCTTGGTTAGCCGACTGATAACACTTACTGCCTAAATGCGTGCTACGCACCCAAGATACATATGTCCAAAAAAGCTGCATACCGGTATTATAAATATTAGCACTTCTCAAGTGTCACATAGCAAAAACATACTAAAGTAATGTTGTATAATATTTATTTTTAGATTTGACCGCATACAGATGTCGCTTTAGTGCAAAAAATTGGTGTTTTTTGGTACATTTTCTACTAATTTTATTTTCAAAAACTAATTTTATTCAATATAAGTTTATTGGAATCCAAAAAAAATTGTTTGGAACCATTTTTATTAAGTTGGTAAAAAACAACAACAACCTACAATCAGCTGAGGTAGGAGTATTAGCTAACAACAAGGATTCGAACTCACCCACTTGTCTGTCCGCGACAGTTGTTAGTAGCTGTTCATCAACCAAGTCGGCTATTGATGCCCTGTGCAAAATGTTGCTGCTTTTTCCAATTTGCCTTTGTACATGTATTAAGTAACAACGATTTGGTTGATGACAAACTACTCACAACAATCGGACTTCGGATTCAGATTCAGCAGAGCCAAAAGCTTTGGAAACTGTTGAGAAAACCCGGGCGACTTTTTAAATCTTAAATCGTGTTGTACTGTCTAATGAATGCAAATAATTTTGCATGAAAATAATTGTGAACAAGGTGTATGATATAAGCATACATCGGAGCAGATTGTTGAGTGTTATGGAGTTTAGGTGTTCGCGCTTCCCCACATCGCTGCCAAAACCTCATACCTGTGAGGACACTACTTGTTGTAAATAAAATTTTAATTTTTTTTTTTTTTAACAAGTAGCGTCTCTACAGGTATGGGGCTTTTGGCAGCGATGTGTGGAGCGGCGAACACCTAAGCTCTTGGAAGACCATCGGCAAGCCCATATGCTTTGCCACTTCAAATGGTTCCCAAACCAAACGGATCCTGGCGTCTCTTCTTTGCCGCACATCCAAGAAAGTCCATCTAGATGCTCTAGGAATATTTCTGCATCAAAAAGAAAATTTTGAAAAAAATGTCGCTGACGTTATTTTGGCGGTTAAGGCTCGAAATGATGCTTATAATAAAATCCAATCGGCACACATAATATTCCGAAGACAAAAAGCATAACACAGCACAAACATTCCAGAGTTTCATCTATGAGGTTTTATTGGATTGGATGGAATTAAAATTTTGTTATCTTGACGACATTTGTGTATGTGCCTCACCTCCAGTTGAAAATTTAAATCATTTGCGCATAGCTTTTGCAAGCTTGCGCAACTTTAACCTCAACATTAATCCATCAAAAGGCGAATTTTGAAAATCTGAAATCCTCTTCTCAGGGCAGATGATTTCAAGTTCAAGCATATCACTTTCACTTTCGACGAAAGGTTTGGAGCTTAGAGGTTTTCTCAACATGATAAATTTCTACCGGAGATTCATGCCACATACCATTGAACATCAGCAACCCCTTATCAAGTTTATACCAAGGAATAAGAAAAATTACAGAAGTCCAATTGTTTGGACGCCTGAAACAAAAAAAAAAAGTCTTCGAGCAATGTAAACAAGCACTTATTAACTTCAATCGTCTAGCTCGTCCTCAATCCAGAGGGTTGCGATATCGACAGGAAAAAAATCGATATATTCGATGTTGATATATCAGATTAAAAAAATCGAGGAGGATTCTGCAAAAGCTAGGCGAAATTTTCGGCTTCGAAAACCTCTCAATGATAGGCGATGGCACCAAAAAGAGAGAGATGAATTGGACAAATCAGTCAAGATCTCGCATAACGAGAGCCAAGTAATTTTACGTTGCATACTTTTAGGCTCTTCCCTTCTATGGTAGACAATTTTGGAGACAAAAATTTTGCAGAAAGATTTTCAGAATCCCGCTACGGGACACCGTACACCAAAACGTGCGATTTCGTTTCGAAACACAATTTGCTAAAATTTTTGAAAGTCAGTGCGGGTGCGATAACTTTGTATTTAGATCGAATTCATTGTAGATATTTTGCGTCGGATCTTTTCGTATTTTTATTTATTCTTTTTTAATAGGTTTATTGACCAACAGCCGGCCTAAGAATATGCAACGCTCCTAGAAAATTATATCCCTTTACTCATGTTTCGGATTTCGTATTGTAACTCTTGGGCGTTTATGTTGCATATTTCTAAGCATAGCTGCCATTAATTTAGATAGTTCTAGCCACTGAAATTAACAGCGTTATTCCTGCGTAATTAGTATTGTCGAAAATTAGGCGTCGAAAAATATGATGCAAACAATTCATTAATTATAATGAAAACTTTATTAAGGCATTCATATGTTTTGATACCACTGTGCAACCAAAATTTTGGGTCGAAATAAATATAATTCACGATGAAAGCCTTGTGTTCAAAATATAAGGTTTCCAAAGCTTTTTTGCTTCTCAGGCCAACATTTTGTTAACGTACGAAAAAAGTTATAAATTTGGTGCCTGAAACGATTTTGAAAATGTGAAAAGGTTTAAAATTTATAACTGAGTTAAATCATTTGGTCGGCCATATATAGTAAAATTTGTCAAAGAATATTTTTGTAGAATATTTTAGCGCAACATTTCTTTTTCACAAGTGTCGTTCTGAGCGCTCATTTTGAGACATTACAAAAAAAGTGCATTTCGGTGGGTGGTAGAGATATCCCAAGTGAAAGTTTAGCAGCGGTATTCTCAGTCAAAATTTTGGTTCGAATTATAAAATTTATTCCTGGAAATGTGCAACGTTTTTTTTCTACAAAAATATGTTTAACGCCAAATATATTCAACTAGTGAACCCGCATGGCGTTAATACGCCCAAAATTGAATTTCAAAAACTTAAAAAATATTCCAAATGTTAGTCAGAGTTATAAGTGATCCGAGTGTCACATTTCGTTTAAAACCGTGCAGCCGTTTCGGAATGAAGAGCAGTCTCGCATAGTGCATGCTCTTATTTTCATGGAATTTCGAAGCACCCTATACAGATGAAGAAAGTTCTTAATTAAGAAAATAAAACTTTATCCTACACCTACGGGCCGAGATCTATAATTTCATTTTTGAAATTCCTTTTCTTATTGAAACTCCTATGTTCGATCAAATGGCCGCCCTCCTAAATAAAAATCAGGAATAAATCCCTTTCAAACCCATTTCGCTTTATACCAACCTTTTAATAATTCATCCACCTTACTGAATAATTTTCATGTAACTTTTTAAACACGGTGGCAACTCTCTTCAAACATTCGAAATGTTCAAACTAAAGATTTCTTAACATTCTTTCGTTTGACTACAGTATTTTTGTATTTCATATACTTTTTGATTTAGTTAATTGAAACAGGTGGCAACCCTCTTCAAAAGTATTTTCAAGCTTAATCATTGTTAACTCTCCTTCGCCGGACACTGCAATACATCTTTTAATTAACTGATGAATTAAGTGGCATTTTAATTTTCGAACATGTGGCAACCCCGCTAAATACAATTCAGAAATAAAAAGTTTTCAAACCCCCTTCTACTGATACCCATATTTTAATAATTCATTTAACTTATAAAATAATTTGAATGTAACTTTTTAAACAGGTGGCAACCCTC